ATATTTTAACAACGATTTCGTGATCGATATCCATTTTAAATCACATAACGTCCTACTGGAGGTATAGTGCTGGCTGAAAAACGTTTGTAAAAGTAACCAACAGTTGTAAGTTTACTGTTAACACAAAATGGCACTTTTGTCAACTAGACAGATTAAAATTCCCATTTCAAAGGTGGCTACAACATTTAATGCCACGGCCTGATCCCATCATGGAAACGTGGCCATATTTCTGACAACCGATTCCTTATATAATTTTACTTTCTAGCTTAGTTGTGATATTTTGGTAATCAAATATAACTCATTTAGTTAAATAATGTGTGTATTAAATGTTTGTACAAGTTTAAAAAATTATACATGTCCCTGGGACCTAGAGATTTTACAATGTTTTAAAATTTCACTTAACAGTACCGTTATTACTACAATTTAACCGATACAACCGATCACTTTTATAATATGAGCTAATCGTACATAAAATATTATTTGATTATTGAGTATTATAATTTACTTTTGGATGTATTAGTGTGATAAAATATCGCTATCTTCCTCTTGACAATGGTATTATACTATCGCCTGCATTGGCTTCATACCATGGAATATACGAGAGTGTACAGAGCACAGCCAGTTCCCAACTGCAGGAGCAAACTACAGAATGTATTTTGTTAGAAAAAATACTTGTCGTTGGAAAATGTAGGAAAAACGAATGAATTATTGTACACACCATTCAAAGCAGCTACATTGCTTTATAAAATATCATTGGAAACATTAGTAATGACCACTATATATTCCTCCTTTACTGTGCATTTATATTGTACTTTACATTATAAAAATATGATTTTTTGTTGATTGTTTATTTTCTATTTAATTATTAATTCCTGCTAATTATTTTAACATTGATTGCTACGTACTGATTTCAATTGTATATTTGTTATTTGTTCTTTTGCCATGTTTGTTTCTACTTGGCCTACTTATATTATTTATTGTTTGTTGTCTAGTTTCTCTGATTGATAATTGTCTGTTATTTTTTGTTAAATGTGTTAACATGCTATAGATTCGTATCAACCGCAGGGGGCTCACGCTTGCGTGGGTTCGTGGCCTGGGCAACCACGCGGACCCTAGCTCTCCCAGAGGGGAGGTAACTGCCCGGTGTCAGACCCGGCACTTCAGGTAGACCACAGTTATGGACGACTGGTAAGCGCCAGCCCCTTAGGGGGAGCCTCCAGTGACATTCCCTCCATTCAGGGTGGGGGGGGTGTTTAGCTCTCAGTGACGCCGTTAATTCCGCCTCTCCTCAACTACCTGTAACTGTGGTTGTGACTGAGTCCTACCTGTTGTGTTCGACTGACATTTTGTGAGGCATATCCTCGACTTTGGAAGTAGCCTCGTCCTGGGAGGTGAAATACCTAGCCCCCAGAGGGGAGGTAAATGCTCCGTGTTGGTATCGGCATTTCAAGTTGGCCACAGACATGGTCGACTGGGCATCGGGTCCCAGTGACATTCCTTTATCCAGGATGGAGGGGTGTTTAGCTCTAGGAGAGATGGAAGTACATCATAATCTCTAACCTACCTGTGTCTGTGGTACTTTGGGCTTCGGCCTGCTTGTGGTGTGCGACCAGCATTCAGTGGGCAAATCCTCGACTTTGGAAGTAACCTTTCCTGGAGGTGAAAACGGGCAAGTACCCGCAGCTCACGGGGACACTCAAGGGCAACGTAACTTTCCGCAGTGTGAGGGCAACGGTTTGTAGGTACTTATGCAAACCTATCCCTGTCTCTGAGCACGGACGGTATGGTTATCTTGAGTGTGGGGGGTTCTTCCCGGAACCTCAATTGAGTCAAGGGTGTCGCCACCTCTGGTGGATAGGTTCATCCGGGTGGGTCCCACTTCTATACCTGCCTCCTTTTGGGAAACCCTGATGGCCTGGCAGTGATGTTGGGTCTGACGGGCAAACGAAGTAGATCGGGTGCTGGGTTCCCCAATGGGAGGTTGGGGTTCCCCCCGTCAGCGTGCTGATGGTCCCCTTCCTCCTGGCTATTGATGGCGGGTTCTGCCTGTCAGGGATGAGATAGGTCCCGAGTGTTGCTTGCACTAAATGCGTCGGGGCGCTCTACTATGGACCTCTAGGTTCCGACCTAGTGGAACCCAGGTGGAGTGACGCTTAAACAAGCAGCCGGAATCCCTGGTTAGGATTGAGGGGCAACCCTCTTTCCGAAGGGTCTGCTTCGGCAGCCGGCGAGCCTGATGACCTTAAGTCATCCGCCCATGATGTGCTAAAGGTTGATGCGTAAGCTTCGGCCTACATCATGGGGCCCGGGTATGTCCTGTAGGATAGGTACCGGGTAAGCAGTCAGGGGGCTTCGGCTCTCATGACAACAAATCTAAATCTAAAAAAAAAAGATTCGTATCATTGGCGATGAGATGTCATATTGTCATCTCCCAAGGAGTTTTTGGTTTGAAATAGGGTCAACTAGAAGGACTGCTTTCAAGGTCACTTAATTCAAATAGAAAACTATTCTATACGTAGAAAAAGATTTAATTCTAATCATGCAGCCAACACATATATATTTTTATATTTGCGATTCGCACTCTGGTAGTAGTATTCACAAGTTTGAGTCATTTCCGATAGTTTGACGTTTGACGTCCAGATCATGTCATAAGTGACGTCAGAGACAGGAAGAGAAGTGATTGGCTTTAAATCAAATCACATTGACCAATCACAGATGCGATTGCCGGACATGTTTCGACCTGTTCAGTTCTGTTCTGTCCCATCAACTTGTTCATTAGCCTTGATTGAACTGGAACAATTTCACGGGTTTTGTCTATAATTTTGTAATGTTCTTTGATGTTGGATGTTTGGATGTTGTTTGATCTTTGATTGTTTGTTCTTGGTTCAAAGATGAGTTCTATTCCATGTCGTGTTTTTCAATCAAAAACGTAAACCGTATTTACTTGGATAACCGTATTATGTTCTCTGATGTTGGTAAATGTTTTCCCTTTGTATCAATTATGAGTCCTCTTAGGAGATGACGCGTTCCCTAATCAAGAACGTTCTTAATCGCCAACGTTGACCTTAATTACTCTAACTACCTTCGTCACTCAGGGTTTATTCACTAAGTGATAATCATCTCTTGATATCAAGTTAAGGAAAACTAGCTATTCTTAAAACGTACCGAGTTTGTAATCCTCAGAATGATAAAATGATCAATTCCCCTTCAATAAAAACACCCATAGGGTGCGTTTATGGGATGTCAATACCCTTAAGAAGGCCTCAACCACAAGAGTACAAAACAATTTTGGTCTTGGTAATACACTCATGAATACAATACAGGACCGATTTTTTTTTTTCGTTTTGAGGTCCCTAGAGGCCAAAAATAGCATCCGTTAAAATTCATATATATATATTTATATATATATATATATTTATATATATACTTATATATATATATATATATGTGTGTGTGTGTGTGTGTGTGTGTGTGTCCGTTAGCGCGATAACTCGAGCAAAAATGATCCGATTTTGATGAAACTTGGTACAAACGTGTAAACCTACGTTTATTCGAACGAGTTAGCGAACCAGCATGATCGGACCATGGGAACGGGGGTTTATGGGGGATTTTATGGGGTAAAAATGGGGTTTTCCCATTTTTGACCCAAAAAACCTAAATTTTTGCAATTTCTTTCCAAACTGTTTTGTAGAGCTTAAAAAAACAAATAATTTTGTATATTGAAGCGTTATAATGCACCTAATGGTTACGGAGAAAATTCAAAAAAATTGTTAATTTAAAAAATTCCCATGTTAATCTTATGGAGGATAAGTAAACTGTTGTAGTTTGCTTATTTATTAACATATTTTGCCCAAATTTGGAAAATGTTTTTATTTCTTACTAACTATTAACATTTTACATAAAAAAACACTTTAACCCTCCCTATTGCAGCAAACCTAAGTATGTGTTAAACTGATTCAATTTAAATAGGGAATAAATGTGATATTTTTAAGGAGACATTTTAGTGTAAATCCAATTAGGCAAATGGAAATTCGCTTAGTCTGCTGGTTTGCTGCGGCGGGGGTATTATATTAATCATACCATCCCCATTTCCACCTCTTTCAACTGATTTAAGACTATTTATAATGCAAAAAAGAGTCATTAGTACCTCTAAAGAAACACCAATAAGTTTTTCGATGGTGCGTGATTCTAAATGCTTAACTGAAAGACCTTAGCCATCCCAGGCTTAGTTCTTTTATTTTCTTTATGTCTTTTAGGGGGTCATAGGGCAACCAGAAGAGACGTCTATCTTAGAAAGTACTTTTAGTACTCCCAAAGTCCCTTAATGCTTAGTCCCAAAGTGCTTAATCCCTTTTCTATTGTCATCTTCCAGGTTTCTCGGGGTCTCTCCTTCTTGCATCATGCAGATTTTTCATGGTCTTCTTCCTCACTATTTCATCCAACTTCGTCTATCCCAACCATTATCCCTCCCTGATCTTCAGTTTTATTTGTCACTAACCTGTTTCCCACCACAGAGTTTCGATGGAAACAGCCATCGCTGTCTAACTACTGTACTATGTGTCTAGTTTGTACTCTGTGTTTACATGTAATTTCAACAAGTCTATCAAATCTGCGCCCTCTCAACCTGCTGCGGCCTCCGTTCCTCTCATCTTCTCTCTGTGACACTGTTTCCGCCGTATTATTCAGGAATGTGAGTACAATACCTGACATGTCGCACCTCGTAGTGTGACGCGCGTCTATTGTACCCAGACAACACACGCATGACGCCGTACAAAGAGAGGCCTCGCCGCTGCGCATCTACAACTGGCGCAACTGTTGGTTTCCTTTTAATGGAAACGCATATGCGCAATAGGGATTTTGGTATTCGTCCATTTGAACTTCCCGTTTGAGATGCAAGTCCATTTGTTCTAAGAAACTTAGGAAACCCCATTACAAATTGGCACTGCCCTCAAGATTATGAAACAAAGAAGTTTAAATAATGAGCTGGAAAGACGACTCACCATTAGCGATTTTCCTGAGTATGTCCTGTTTGTGAGCGTCAGTATGAGGTTCGCCGACCACGATGAGTAGGTAGGCTCCAGAGAGTGGACTGGGCGGCGGTTGGGCGGCCACGGGCGGCTCCGGCCCCGCGCCTGACCCGCTCGTAGTCTCCATCTCAGGAGACTGAGGTTCTGTGATATCTATAACAAGAGATACAGTCAGATAAGTAGGTAGGCTTCGTGGACTGGGCGGCCATGGGTGGCTCCCTCTCTGCGCCTGTCCAAATCGTAGTCTTTACATGGACTAATGTCGTTTACATTGGATATTTTGTTCTGTGACATGTTTTATCAGAAATTTTTTTATGTTGAAATTTTTTGTTAAGTCTTTACGTATCATCTGATTTCAAATACGTACAACTAAAATATATCGCTCCCCTTCGTCCTATGGATCGTACATCCTAAGTAAACAAATTTACATTGTAAATTGTCTGTTTTATATTAGGACTAGCAAGAACTAACACTAACACTAGACCCACCCCGTCGTGGCTTTGCTAGCGAAAATTTAATTTTAATCAGTATTTGACTAGGCTACCGTACTTAAAGTTAAACTAAGAGAGGACTTCTTCATTAACAACATTAACTGCCCTTCTACCAGGAGCTTTACATAATGTTTTTGGCCAGAAAACTATTCCAGCTGTATCTCCTTTCACACGCTTTTAAACCTAATTTTCTAATGATACTGTCAGTTTTCCCATAACTTCATTGAAAAGTATTAGTAACATTAAGTAAAATAATAACCTTGCACGATGTTTTATTGTGGTTCTTGTAACGCTCAAAGGCCCTCAACAGTGGCAGGTATATGATGTTCTCACCAATGGGAATGTACTTCACATACTGTTATTAAGTTGCTGAGAAACACAAACCACAAAAACCACAACAAAAAGTGTACACATCTTGATTTCTAGACTCATTTAACGATTACAAAAAGTGTGAAATACAGTAATGATAAAACACAATTTTTCAAGCCACAAAATAATGCAAATATTTTCATGTCAACCAAATAAATACAACCAGCTGTTTTATTAGTTACTATTGTAAAATTCTAAAATATTGCATCTGTTCAGATGTAAACAAGTATTTTCTCCATAAGGATAACATGAGAACTTTAAAACCACTTGGACAGAACCCCAATGGAATTTCTAAAAACGCTTCTTATTGCACACTTGGAACCTCCTTTACAATTTCTGAGTTTTTATGGCTTGTAGTTTTTTAGTACAGTAGTGATCAGTGAGTCGGTAAGTTGTATAGTCTTTTATAAGTATTAAAAATGGCAAAAAATTAAAAATTGGGTTTTGAAATGTTGGTTCATTCTATAAAGTACACGTTTGTTTAAAAACTTCTCACAACAAGATCCTTTAAAAAAACAACAAATTAATCAAGTCTCGGACTCCTATACCAACTAGTTAAGATAACTTTCTCGATAGGTTTATTTAGTACGAGGCGCTGTTTAGGCATCTTTTGATCTGACTTTTGAGAACCGCTATGCGAAGGGCTTCACAAGAGCCATTGTTGCTATCGATATCTTCAATTTATTCTCTAGCCCTTCAGCCCTAAGGCTTATCGTCTTTTATTCGAGTAAATTTTCTTAAGGACCTATACACCCTTTATGCTCGGTTATATTGTAGTATTTGTTACAATTCACAAGCCCAACATCTTGAGGCTACTTGAGCTTTCTTGGATTAAATGGTTTTTAAGAATCAAAGGATATATTGTTTTGCATTCTCTATATTTTTCAAAATTTTAATCAGGAAGTCCCTTTATGTTTAAGTTGATTGCTGCTATACCTTAAAGAAAATATAGGTTTGTGTTCAATTACAAATTATTGTGGTTATTGATTTTATTAGTAGTTTATTGATAGAAGTTATCCCTCTGATATTTTAAAAGATTGTAGAGTTTAGGCTGATTTTTAGCGAATTTCCCTATAGGGAAGTAGCTATTACCGTAGGTGGCACGGTAAGACCTAGAGCCGGGACTGATTTACTTTTTCATTTTGATGTCCCCAGAGGCCAAAAACACTATTCGTTCAAATTGTTATATATGTATATATATATATATATATTAAAATTAAAACATATATAACAAAGTACCCTTTTAGTAATTATTTTATTTTTCATGACGACATGTTTCGGAACTAAGTCCATTGTCAAGTCATTTTTACCATAACCTCATTCTTTAAACTAACAAAATTAAAAATATAATCATATGTAAAAATAATAAAATATGTTAACTAAATCTTAATACATTTTGGTATTAATTTTTTTCATTATACTATATGAATGTTTTTCTTTCTTTCCTTAGTTTTTCAATTTTATCGTAGATAGGTTGGTTTAATTTTGGAATCATTGTGTTGAGTATGTTGTTGGGGTCCTTTTTGTTAAACCTAAAAAAACCTACGACCACAGACATCATTATTCCATACTATTCTAATCATCCTTGGAGTCATAAAATCGCTACTTTCCATTCACTTATCCGCAGAATTATTAATATTCCCTTGAATAAAGAAAATTTCAAAAAAGAGAAAAATACCATTAAATACTTAGCAGAGAAAAATGGCTACAGGGCAAAAATGATAGACAATATGATAAAGAATAAATTGAAAAACAAATTACAAAAGCAAAATAAAACAACGGAAAATGAAGAGAAAAAGAAATATATAGGTATACCTTATAACAAATATATGACTAAAGCAGTAAGAAATACGTTTAAAAATTCGGATATAAGGGTAAGTTACAGAACTAAGAACAATATTTTCCAATTAATCAATAAAAAAATCAAACACACAGAAGATAATGAAGACGAAAAGTACAACAAATCAGGAATCTATAAGATAAACTGTAGTGACTGTAGCAAGTATTATATAGGTCAAACATCTCGAACTTTTAAAACAAGATTCAAGGAACATCTACAAGCATTGAAATCAAAAAATCAGACATCAATGAAGTCGAACTTCGCCGACCATATAATGAACACAGACCACAGTTATAAAAACATGAAAGACAATCTAACTATTTTAGAATTTGAAAAAGAACGTGAGAAACTTAATGTGAAAGAAGAGCTAAATATTTATATACACAACAAAAAGGACCCCAACAACATACTCAACACAATGATTCCAAAATTAAACCAACCTATCTACGATAAAATTGAAAAACTAAGGAAAGAAAGAAAAACATTCATATAGTATAATGAAAAAAATTAATACCAAAATGTATTAAGATTTAGTTAACATATTTTATTATTTTTACATATGATTATATTTTTAATTTTGTTAGTTTAAAGAATGAGGTTATGGTAAAAATGACTTGACAATGGACTTAGTTCCGAAACATGTCGTCATGAAAAATAAAATAATTACTAAAAGGGTACTTTGTTATATATGTTTTAATTTTATTATATTAGTAGCCCTAAAAATGCAAGAAAATAATAATATATATATATATATATATATAGACTTAGATATATATATATATACGTCCGTGAACGCGATAACTTGAGTAATTTTTGTCCGATTTTGATGAAATTTGGTTTAGAGGTGTAAAGCGGGATAAACTTGAATGAGTTCGCGAACCAGCACGATCGGACCATGGGAACGGGGCTTTACGGGGGGTTTTATGGGGTAAAAATTGGTTTTTCTCACTTTTGACCCTCAAAACACAAAATTTCCCGATTTCTCTTTAGACCTTTTTAAAGAGCTTAAAAAAACAAATAATTTAGTATATAAAAGTATTTTTGCTGAATTATTAGTAACGGAGAAAATTAAAAAAATTGTAAATTTAAAATTCCTATGTTATTCTTATGGAGAATATTGTCAAATGTTGTAGTTTGCTTGTTTATGGATATATTTTGATCAAACTTGGCAAATTTATTTATTTTGTACTTAGCTATCAATATTTTACTCAAAAACACACTTTATTAGTTTCCTTGTAGCAGCAAACCTAGGAACTCGTTAAACCTAATGTTATTAAAATATATTTAACTGAAAATCAATTCAGACAAATGGAAATTCGCTTAGTCGGCAGGTTTGCTGCGGCGGGGGTATTTACTGTGCCTTGATTAAAAGTGGATGGTGCATGCACCGCATGAAATGCATCCTTGTAAACATATTTCCGTTAAAATTTGGGTTTGTGTTAAAATTCCATCAAATAGAGTTTTTCATAATCAATAAGAGCTTTTAAACACCCTACACTCGTTCGAATGAAAAATATCGAGTTATAGACTGTTCGATATATCGGTTATTTCATTTGGTTAGTTAGGTTAGGTTAACCTAATTAACCAAACTTGATATACCGAATTAAATAATCGATATATCGGTCGATATATTCATTTGAGAATTCAAAATAGTATTCCACATTATTCACTTCGTTATTGGAAAGTTTGTACAAATAGCGTGTTTCAACTTAAATGCCTTTGAATCAAGCTAGAGCAAAGTACTGAAATAAAGTCATCTATGAACATATTAATGACAATATTTACCAAAATCATGTCATGAAAATTCCTTTAATATGTTGTTGAGATGACAATTCACTATTTAAAGTTCACGGGTTTGAGAGCTTCATTTTATTTGTTGAAGGTAAACAGTTAATAATCTATGTAGGAACTTGACTGTTTTCGTCACTGCCAAAAGTAAATTTATTCCGGGCAACTGCATGTTTGCTTTTCAAAGTGGCAATTATAAACTTGGATTCAAAGGGTTTTCCGTCCAGAGATCGAAATGCTAACTAAACCTCTATTTGTTCATGTATAATTACGATTTGGTGTAACTATACACAACACAAGCCATGCTCAGAATATAAATTGTACATCGATGAGTTATTTAAATGAAAAACTGTGAATCATTGACCATGTTTGCATGAATTAAATATAGCTAAATTAATTTAAATCTAAAAAAAAATTCACGTATAACTAGAGAAACTGACTTAGATAACCTATATCAAACCAATGGTTTAACTCTTTGTATGGCCAAACTAAACTGATGGTTAGTTATAATATTTTATGCTTCATTAAGGCATCTCACTCTATTCTACCCTCATCCTTCACTCATAATTGGGTTAAAATACGGACATAGGTGGTAGGTAGCGAACCCATCTCAAAGATAATGGTATAAAAAAATGAAGCAGTAACAAAATTAATGGAAAAGCATT